GGGGAATGGAGGGGGAAATAACCTGCCCAAGGTCATGCAGAAGAATCTCCAAAGGGCCTGGCCCTCCCTGGCCCCAGGCCTGGCTCTCAGACAGAAGGCACTGCGCCTCATCTCTCCATCACTCCCTGGTCTCCCTGTCCTTGTCCCAAGTTGCCTGGGTTACCATCTGTTCCCTGGTCCAAGTCAGTTCTCCACCCACCATATTCATCTTGAGGAGAACCTGCAGCCTCTGTCCCAGCTTTGGGAAGGAGAGAGACTACACTGACTTCAAATGATGGGTTTGGGACTCAGCCACTGATGCCTCCACTGCTTCGTGGGGTGGCATTAAATGATATGTTGTTATGGCCAATACAAGAAGCTCCTCCATGTCTCTCCAGCCATCTAAGTGAACCTCAGGTTTTGGAAGCCCTTGTCTGCTCACTGTTCTGGCTGGACCCCAAGGGGCAGCTCAAACAGGTAGAAAAGAGCAAGGTGAACATAGAGGAAGAAAAATCCAGACCCAGATGAGGAATCAAGAAGCAGCCACTGGGGGAGGGGGATCGAGAATGCATCCCTCTTCCTGCCCCCTCCTGCAGCATGTCTCTCTCTCTCACTCGCTAGCTCTCCTGACTTCACACTGGTGTATTTTGAGAAACTCGTGAAAGGAGGTGAGAAAAAGGGTGGGGAGGGGCTGGAAAATTGGAAAAAGAGGGGGTGAAGTTATCTCAGATCTCCCTCACCCCCCCCCACCACACAAATACTGCGCCATCCTGCCTCCCTCTGTCCAGCCTGATTCGTGTCTCTCACAAGAGGGTTAGGGGTTGGGGGGTGGTGACTTTAGAGCCTGAAGATGATCTACAGCAAGAAGGACTAATGTTAGATTTAGCAAAGGACTTGAACGGCCTAGTGAGATGGAATGAGACTCAACTAAAGACAGGGCCAGGTCTGTGTAGTCCAAAGGGACAGAGTTTGAGGGCATGGGGGGCCAGAGGTATGGTCCTGATGAGGCCATCTCCTCCCCACACTGTGGCCAGATATTTTTAGGTTTTCCGCAGCTGAGTAATTTCTCTGACTTGGAGCCAGAGCTGGGGTTGGGGATGAGAGACAGGGGAATCGTGTGGCCACTACCCTGAGAGGCGCCCAGGTCACTGGGGTTATTGCTCTGGATGGGCAGCTCTAGCCGGTAGTATCCCTTGGGAAGTCTAGCCTACCTCAGGAGTCTTTTTTTTCTGGCCTGTAACTCCTTTCTCCCCCAAGGACCTGGGATACTCTGGCTTCTTCCTCCCAGCTTAACTCCACTCAAGGGCGAGGATCAGTGGGCCCCAATCCGCCTGAGCTGCAGATTAAAATCCCTGAGCAAGAGAGGAAGAGAAATTGGGGGGGGAAAAAGACACCAAGAGTGGAATAATGAGACAGAGATCTAAAGAAGGGGACCAAAGATGGCTAGTGGGGGAGGGGGGCTCACAGTGAAGGATTGATGGAGACTGAGTAAAGAGCAACGACCAGAGAGCCAGAAGGAGGGAGACTGAGATCCCAGCCGAAAAGAGGCGACAGAGGTCCACCAAGAAGGGAGACAGAGTCTCAGAGCTAGATAGGAAGAGAGACCCATGGGGAAGGATACAGTGGTCCAGAGAAAGGAGACAGGGAGAGGGAGACAGGTGGACAGAGACCTCACCCTCTCATCGAGAGAGAGACAGAGAGAGAGAGACAGAGAGAGAGAGAGAGACCTGAGAAAGAGTAGATCCCAGGGTGGGGTGAGGTGGACTAGATCGATCACAAGGAGAACCACACAGTTAGAGGATCCAAGGAGAAAACTGGACAAATGGGTGGAACCCATGCACCCACGCCCCGTGCCGGGGTATTCAACACCCTTCCATCTGTCCGTCTGCTCCCAGGTGGGGGCGAGTGTCCGCGATCCCCCTCCCGGGACCCCCGCCCGGCTCACCGGTGCAGCCTCCCCAGGGCGCGACCCGCCAGCTTTCGAAACTCCTCCTGGCGGAACTCCATGGTGGCTGCCCCTGCCGCCGATCCCCCCCGCCCCCCTTTCGCGGGCCCGGGCGGCCGCGTCCGGGTTCCCGGGGTCCGCCCCGGCCCGGCCGGCCCCGCAGCTCCGCTCGGGGGGAACGAGGCTGCGAGTGCGGGCAGCCTGGGGGCTGTCACTGGATTCAGCGCCGGGGGCGGGGCCTCGCCGCCACGCCCAACGCATAGGGCGGAGCCTCGTCGCTCCGCCCAATCAGCGTGAGTCCCGCCCCCTTGCACATTGGACCCGCCCTCTCGGCTGGCATCCTGGGTCGGCTGGGGTCTGTCTGCGGGCTCACATCTCCGCTTCGTGAACCACTCGGGTTCGGGGCTCCTACTTCAGTCCCGTGTCCAAGTGACCCCTGTGCCTTCCGTCCTCCCTAGTTCGTTCCACCCAGATCTCCCGCTCCCGAATGCCTTCTCCACCCTTGATTTGGCCTCGTCAAATCTCCCCGCCCCACCCCATACCGTTAACTTCCTTTGCCTTTCCTGCGTTTCTCCTTCCGATCTCCATCCCTCCTAACTTTGTGACCTCTGACCAGCTCCACCTCACCCCTGAACTCTGACCCAACCAACACCTGACCCCACCCCTGTCCCCCTCTCATCTCCAGTTCTCCTACGGGGAAACTCCCCCCTCCCACTCTCAGCCCCTCCTTCCACCTGCCCGGTCCCCCCCAGATTTATTCTCCTAACCCATGTTTTCACCTTTAACTTCCATCCTCTTCGGAATTTCATCCCTCATCTTCAGTACCTGCCTCTTCGCTGGGTGCGACCCTTTCTTCCCCCGTTCATTCTCCAGGTCCCTCCCGACACCTTTCCCTTCGCTTTAGGTTCCCGTTCCCCCACGACCCTCTGCGACCCCCCCCAAGTAGTTCCCGCCCCCAGTCGGCGTGGCGCCCCTGGAATCTGAGCTGTATCCTAGCTCACGCTCTGGTCGGGTCCCCGTTGGGTTCAGTTTCGTCTCCGTCTTCTGAGTTTTGCCCTCAAGTCCCTAAATTGTCTACCAGGCTCTTAGAGGCAATCAGACCGCTGAGCTCCAACCCCTCAAGTCTGTCTGCCCCCCAAGTCGGTCTGTCTCCCCGCAGCAAGCTCCCGGGCGATCTGTCCCGGCGCTGAGCTCGGTCTCCGCCCCCTGAACTCCAGCCCCGCCCCCTGGGGTGGAACCCCGACTTTCCTCTGCGCCCCGGTCCTGCCCGGCTTAGGTCCCAAAACCAGCCCTTCTCCCGGGCTGAGTCCCCCCTACCCCCCGATCGGAGCCTGGGCGGGGTGCGGCTGCTTTCCCGTCGGTCCGCTGCCCCACGTCGGGCCGCAAATGCATTTGGGATTAAATTTTCATGATGCGGCGGGCGGGCGCCAGGAAGCCGGGCCGCCTGGGCCTCGCGGCCCGCCCCCCGCCCCGGCGGCCGGGGTCCCGGAGCCCCAGGACGTTGGCTCTGCGCGGGGATCGCCCGGATGCCCGCCGCCGGGGCGGGTGGGCTGCGCACCCCCCCGGACCCGGGCGCAGGGCCGCACGCGCCCCCCCGCGGCCGCCAAGTCCAGAGCCGAGCCGCGCGCGGGGGCGGCGGCCGCGCTAGCCTTGAGCTGAAGAGCTGAGGGACAGCGCCCAGGGCGCAGATGGCGGGGAGGAGGGCGTGGGACGCGGGCCCCGCCGCTGCCAAACCGCGGGCCGTCGCCATGGAGACGGAGGATGGAGGAAAAGGACCCGGGAAGGAGCTGCTCGGCTGCAGAATGAGGGGTCCCCACACCTGAACTACAGGGCGCAGAGGCCCGGGACCCCGCGTCCGCGCCCGCATCCTCGCCCCGGGGTGCGGGGTCCAGAGCGCGGAGCCGCCGGGCGGAGGCCTCGCAGCGCCCTCTGGCGGACACAGCGGGGCCTCGCCGGACCCGGGCTGCGCTCCTCGCCGGGAGGCGGGAGAGGCTTCCCCGGCACGGACTCGGTAATTGCTGGAGTTCCTACAGGGTGCCGCCACCCAGTGGGGAGCATTGCTCCAGGACGGTCTCACGGTGTAACCCAGGATGGCCTAGAGCTCCCAGTCCTGCCTCTGCTGGGATCGCAGGCTTGCTCCACCACACCCAGATGGATGGAGATTTAATTTCTTTTTTTTTTTGCTTTACTATGGAGCTACATCCCCCAGCCCGGCCGTCAAAGGATTCTCACTCTGATAGGAAGACTAAAGTAGGAAGTCTCATGGTTTTTTCCAGGGAATTTTCCATAAAAGAGCTTGGATTATAGTTCAGCAGTGTTATTATTTTTTTTGGGGGGTCCGGTTGTGGGGCCTGAACTCTGGGCCTGGGCGCTGTCCCTCAGCTCTTCAGCTCAAGGCTAGCGCTCTACCACTTGAGCCACAGCGCCACTTCTGGCTTTTTTCTTTTTGTTTATGTTTTGTTTATGAGGAATGGAACCCAGGGCCTCAGGCATGCAAGGCAAGTGCTCTACCACTGAGCCACCTTCCCAGCCCTCAGCAATGTTATTTAGCATTCAAAGCCCTGTGTTCAATCCCCAGGAACAAAAGAAGAGGGGGATGGGTGTAGAGGGCAGTACAGTGAGGTGCTGATCCCCGATGGAGGAAAGAAACAGGCTTTGTAAAGTCAGGAGGAAGCTAGAGCCTGGTGTTTTGGCCCACAGAGTTTGATCTGGTTGACATGAACTGGGATTCCAGGAGTGGAGACACTGTGACGATCAGATCACCAAGGAAGCAAAGGAGAACTTTAGTCCAGGTGGAGTGATGCATGCCTATAATCCCAGCTACCTACCTGGAACTGAAGCAGGATGATTTGTGAGTTCCAGGTCAGCAGGGACAAAAATGAGACCCTGAGCTTTGAGGCCCAGGGAAAAACAAATAAAGGGAAAGGAGGAGGCTGAAGGCTGGAGGGGAAAGAGAGACCCCGGGAAGAGGAGGCCCCAGAAGAGGCAGGGATTTCCAGCAAACTCTAAAGCCACCACCTAATGTCTGTCCTCTCTCCTACCCTCCCTGTCCCTAGATTCTCAGCCAGAGACAGAATAAAGGCAAATATCTTTTATTCCAATGACAGAGAAGCCATCAACATCTTCCCAGTTGAAAGGAAGCACAAGAGAATTGTGGTCAAGAAGGCACTGAAAGAAGGGGCATAGCCACCAGCAGTTGCTGAAAAAGGAAACAAAATGAGGATTCAAGACCCAGCAATCCAGGTTTCAGCCCTCCTCCCTCAGACCCATGGGCCCAGACCCAGGCGTCCTCCCTCCAGCTCAAGGGTCCAGATTCCCCAGTGTCCTGGCTTCCCTGTACCTTACGCTTCCAGTGGAAGGCAGCCCTGCTGGCCTCGGAGTTGATTTGCAGTGGGATGTAGGCATCCAGATGATACAGCTGCTGAGGGCCCCCCATTACCAGGCGGTCCTCTCCAATCTCCAGTGACAGCCCCAGAGCCCCATCCTGGGGATAAGATGGAAGCAATGAGCCCACCTTCCCCAGTGGACCAGGCTCATGGCCCCACATATTAGGAAACTATAATATTTAAAGGGCCATAACATTTACAAGGCCCTGGGTTCAACTGAGAGGAGAGGAAGGGAGAGAAAGGAAGGGAGGAAGGTGAGGACAATGATTACAAGTCTTAATGGCTGAGCACTTCCTATCCCCTGAGCATCCTCAGGACAGCACCAGAAAGGGTGCCAGTGGCCTCCTAGACCAGGAGAGGTGGCTGATTCAGCTGGGGTGATGGTCTCCATCCCTCGTCCTGGGAGATAGGCTCCACTATCCCCGACCCTCTGTCCCGCTCTGGCTGAGCCGTACTCACCAGCTTGGGCAGGTCAATTTCAGCCAAGAGGAGATCCGGGGCTTCCAGCCAAAGGTTCAGATGAGGCTTCTCTGGGCTGAGGAGGAACGAGGTCCAGAACTGAGAACGTCTACCAGGTCTTTGCCAGCCCCTCCCCTAAGCACCCTGGGCTCTTTCTTTCCACTCAGCCCTGAGCCTTGCGGGGGGCCTCCGAGGTAGTTCTGGCTGTCCAGATTTTCAGAGCCCTGGGGCATCCACCAGTGTGGGGGGGCTGAGGTGTGAGGGAGGGGCTCAGAAGGGTGTTGGAGAACCATGAGGGACTTCCTAAAAGCTCACCCGACATCAGCACAGGGGGAGGCGGATGTGTATGTGTTCCCCAGCTCCTGGATCCGAGGACGCTGCTTGGAGCGGATGTTCTGCTGCGAGATGGAGCCCAGGAAGGGCCGGTTCTTTAACATCCGCCATTCTGAGGGGAGACGGTCAATACCTAGTCAGTGGGTTCCATCCACTGCCTGAGCCGGGCATAACCACGCGCCTTTGTGAGTGTGGCCAAAGACACCACGCCCTCCCTAGGGTATGCACCAATAAAACCCACTCCAAGGTGCTCATGGCTCCTCCCACCACAGCTTGGCCCCGCCCCTGTCTCTAGAAGCCCTGCCCCCTCCAGATCGTAAGTGAAGGAAATCCCTGCCCACCCCACCTCTGGAGGAAGGGGGGCGGAGCCCACTCTGCTTCCGGCTCCCCTACTGCTCACCCGGATTCAACTGCAGGCCATATTTGTCCTCAAGGCCCTCCCTGGCAATGGTGACCACGAGCTCTCGCAAGAAATCGCTGTTCTGAGCACAAGGAAGGGCAGATGTGGCAAGGGAAGGTGGGGTGGTGGGGAGTCCCTGCTCCCTCTCTCCTCCCCCCTCCCTCCACAGGCCTCACGGGCCCCCACACCTGCATCCTCCGGTAGAAATCGCTGTTGACTGCTACATCGTAGGCCGTACAGCCCTGGCCTTCTGCAGAGAGAGAAAGGATGAGCCACCCCCTCCCCCAAAGCCCTCCACGGGACACCCACAGATGATACAGACAGGGAAATCACCCAGGGATAGTGGTCGTAAGGACCCAGAGACTTAGCAACTGAGAGCTCTGTGTGTCCTTCCCAGGGGATTCAGATCAGGGTCCCCATGGCTTCCAGTCTCTCATCTCCAAGCCCCAAGGAGGAACTGCCCTGCTCCAGTCACCCCAGCCTGTCGGTCCCTCCATCCCTGGGAAGAAGTTTATTTCTCCTGTCCACATTTAGACCAATAATTGTTTTCCCCGATCTACCTAGGCCCTCTTTCCTCTCTGCACAGAACTCTCTAACTCCAGCTCCCTCAGAACATTTTTCTTTTTTTTTCTTGTCCATCGTAGGGCTTGAACTTTGGGCCTGTGGGCTGTACTTCCTTGAGCTCTTCAGCTCAATAGCTCTCTACCACTTGTGCTACAGCGTCACTTCCAGTTTTTTTGTTTGTTTCAGTTGGTTGTGGGGCTTGAACTCTAGTCCTGGGTGCTGTCCCTGCGCTCTTCAGCTCAAGGCGAGCACTCTACTGCTTGAGCCACAGCACTACTTCAGTTTTATAGTGCTTTATTGGAGGTAAGAGTCTTGTGGACTTTCCTTCCCCGGGCTGGCTTTGAACTGTGATCCTCCAATCTCAGCCTCCTAAGTAGCCAGGATTACAGGCATGAGCCCTAGCACCCTGCCTGAACTTCTTTTTCCCCCAGCACTGAGGTTTGAACTCAGGGCCTCAAGTTTACTACTAGGTAGGCACTCTACCACTTTTGCCACACCCCAGCCCTGTATAGTAGTTATTTTTCAGGTAGGGCCTGGCACCATTTGCCTGGATTGGACTACACTCAGATCTTCCTACCTTTGCTCCCCAGGTAGCTGGGATGAGAAGTACATGCCACTATGCCCAGCTTTTTTGTTGAGATGGTACCTTGAATTCAATACTCCCAATCTCAGCCCTTATGAGCATGAGCCACTGTTCCTGGCCATGTTCTATTAAGTATTCTACCTGACATCTCTGCCTCCAAGAAGCTTTCCTCAGAATCAATGAATAAGCCTTGGGTGTGTATCCTCTTTAATGCAGCACAAACTATAACATATTGAAACTGCATTTGCGGGCTGGGAAGGTGGCTCAGTGGTAGTATGCTTGCCTTGCATGCATGAGGCCCTAGGTTCAATTCCTCAGCACCACGTAAGCAGAAAAAGCTGGAAGTGGCACTGTGGCTCAAGTGGTAGAGTGCTAGCCTTGAGCTGAAAAGCTGAGGGACAGTGCTCAGGCCCAGAGTTCAGGCCCCATGACTGACCAGAAAAACAAAACAAAACAGGGTCACAGTCCAGAGAGAGAGAGTGATAGGAGAGTCTCAGTTGGAGGGGCACCTGGGCAAAAGGTTACTGAGACCTTATCTCAAAGAACAAACCAGGTGTTGTAATTCCTATCTGTAATCCCAGCTACATAGACAGCATACATAGGAGAATGAGATCTAAAGCTATCTCTGAGGCAAATGCCTAAGACCCTACTGGAAAAATAACCAAAATAAAAAGGGCTGGGGAAGTAGCTCAAGTGGTAGAATATATGTCTTGCAAACAGAAGACCCTGGAATTGAAGCCTACTATTGCCAAAAAAAGAAAAAGAAAGGAGGAAACAGGACATGGAAGGACATAGGAAAATAAAAAAGTGGCAGGGCTGGGAAGGTGGCTCAGTGGTAGAGTACTTGCCTTGCAAGCCTGAGGCCCTAGGTTCGATTCCTCAGCACCACATAAGCAAAAAGAAAGAAGCCAGAAGTGATGCTGTGGCTCAAGTGGTAGAGTGCTAGCCTTGAGCTGAAGAGCTGAGGGACAGCGCCCAGGCCAAGAGTTCAGGCCCCACAACCGGACCCAAAAAAAAAAAAAAAAAAGTGGCAACTGGCCCTCTGCTTAACCTCAGCTTCCTGGACTGGGACAGAAAGTGCCAGCCTGGCCAGGTGGGCAGGAACAAGTCCAGCTGGGCAATGGATGCCAGCTGGCTAGGGATTTGCCATAGGAAAAAGGATCAGTACAGGAGATCAGAAGCAGATTTCCAGGGATCTAAGGTAAAAGGGTCCTGGGCCCTGAATTTCAGATCCTAGGGAAGATGGGAGCCAGGAAGGCAGACTCCAGGGTCCTCTGAGGCACTGACTTGCATCTAATTCAGCATGTGGCTCTCCGAGACTCATGGGGATGCGGAAGCCAGCTTGGTCCTCCTCCAGCATCTGAAGCAGCTCGTCCTCAGTCAAGTCAGCCGGGGGAGGGATGGAGGGAGAATGGCAGATGTTGATGAAAACCTTCCCTTCCGATGAGTTGGTCTTTATGCAGAAACCTGTGGGAGTGGTTTTATCCTGACCATCTGTCTGCAAAGGCTCAGTCTCCTCTCAGCCTCTCCATCCACCCTTTCCCTCTTTTGCTGTCCTCCTGCTGGGTCTCTGCACAGTGCAAGGGTATCTTGCACTGGGTCTCTCTGTCATCCCCCAAATACTCTGCCTTTTTGGGGGTACTGGGGCTTGAACTCAGGGTTTCAACTTGCTAGGCAGGTATATTTTCATTCCATTTCTCCATCTCCTTTTCAAATCTGTTCCCAACTCGCTTCTGGTGTTGTGTCCCTGTCACTCTACCCACTGTGCTTTCTGTCCTTTCTCTGCTCTCTGGATGGCACTCCACATATCTACCCAGGCTTTTATAACCTTTTCTTGTGTGTTCTTCCTGCTTTCTGTTTCCCCTCCCTACAGTCTCTATTGCTGCTCTAAGTGTCTGTTCCTCTCTCTGAAGGACTCAGTCATTCTCACCAGGCTGAGGTTGGATCTGTGTCGATTCTGGTCTCGACTGAGCTTGCTGGAAGTCCGTGGAGGCCTGTGAAGAAAAAAAAAAGCTTCCAGAATTGGAGTCTGAGCAAAAACACCCATTATGTGTTTGTTTCTCACATCTTTAACTGTAGATGACATAAAATTTAATATTTTAGGTACCCTCCCCATTCCAGAACCTGAAAGTAACCCATTCCACACCTTTCTTTTTTTTTTTTTGCTGGTCATGGAGCTTGAACTCTGGGCCTGGGCACTGTTCTGAGCTCTTCAGCTCACAGCTAGTGTTCTACCACTTGAGCCATAGCACCCACTTCCAGCTTTTTCTGTGTACGTGGTGCTGAGGAATCAAACCCAGGGCCTCATGCATGCAAGGAAAGCACTCTAACACTGAGCCACCTTCCCAGCCCTCCACACCCATTCTTTTTTTTTTTGGGGGGGGGGGTCCGGTTGTGGGGCCTGAACTGTGGGCCTGGACGCTGTCCCTCAGGTCTTCAGCTCAAGGCTAGCGCTCTACCACTTGAGCCACAGTACCACTTCCAGCTTTTTTTCTTTTTGCTTATGTGGTGCTGAGGAATCGAACCCAGGGCCTCAGGCATGCAAGGCAAGCGCTCTACCACTGAGCCACCTTCCCAGCCCCTCCACACCCATTTATGAACCTAGCAAGCTGAACCAATAAACTACTATTCCCACGAGCCATGATTGTCGCCCAGTGCATCCTGGGAGTTGAAGTCATATCTCCAACACACACATTAAAACTCTTCTAATTCCCAAGGACTCAGAAGTCGTCAGTTCACACCTGTAGCAGCAACTGCTGGAGCCGCGCTGCCTCGTCGTCCATCGTCTCTGCCTCGCATAATTCTGATGCCAGAAGAGTCTTCGAATCCGCCATGGCCCTAGGAAACACAAGTAGGCGTCCTCAGCAACCTCGCAGTGAGGTACTTTTCCCGGGATCCGAACTCTGGAACTTACTCCCAGTACTATATTCTGCCTGGAACCCTAAGAATGTAGCCTGAGACTTTAGTTTCGTTCTAGTCCAGGCATCATCGTCAGAGCCATTGGGACCCTGGTCGCATTTAGCAAATGGGTAACTACAAACCATACTTCCGGTCTGAGTAACCGTGGAAGCAAGCCACACTCCCTACTATGCCATTGCTCCACCCAGCCGTAAGCGCTACTGACCAATCATGTTCCGAAGTCCTAGGCCCCGCCCCCTCGCCTCAACCAAGTGCCACACTTCCTCCGTCACACTTCCGGCCCCTTCTAAGACCCGTGGGCTGGGCTGGTTACAGTGCGTTTCAAGGCCGTCATACCTTAATTTCAGCGTCATTGTTAAGATTCCCTTCTGATCTTTAGCTACTAAGTCCCGGAGTAGGTCCGGGTTCCTAGTAAAACTCTATCGGGGCAGTACAAAATGGGAACAAGGATCCACAATACCACTCCCCTTTCAAATCCAGAGCCTAGCTGACAGGAGCCCCTCACGGCCGATCTCCCTTCCCTCCTCACTGGGCGTTTGCAAGTTACGAATTACATTTCCCGGCGCGGGCTTCTAGGCGGGATCATCAAGCTCTAAGGCCCGCGAGAGCGGGCGGGGATTGGCCCTCTACCCCGTCGTCCCGCCCTCTGCTCGCTGGCCCCGCCCCCCGGGTGGAGGGCGGCGAGGGGGCGGCGCTGCCCTCCCGACCTCAAGGTTCTCTCGGGCCCAGTGCCCCAGTCTTTCTCAGGAAGAGGTCTCGGTGAGCGATGGCTGCGACGCGCGCAGGGGCCCGGGTCAGCGAGATCTTCACTACTATGGAGTACGGACCTGCACCGGAGAGCCGCGCATGCGCACTGGTGAGGGCCTGCGGAGGGGGGGGGGAGTGCGGCTTTCCAGCATCCCTAGGCCCACGGCGGCGTGGTCTGCGCGCGGGCTCCCGTGATGCTCCGCGGCGGCCCCGCCCCCTCGCTCGCGGTGATTCCCGCCACGGGTTAGGCCCCGGCCCGAGATCCACTGAGCTTTTTGGTGGTGGCGGTGGCGGTGGTGATTCCGTTCCCGGGGCTTGAACTCAGGGCCTTGGTTGCTAACCTTGAACTTTCCCGCCCCGCCCTCCTCAAGACTAGCTAATATCCTACCACGTGGGCCACAGCTCCACTTCCGGATTGGGGGTAATAATGGAAGATAAAGGTCTCATGGACTTTTCCTGCCCGGGCTGGCTTTGAACTTTGATCCTCAAATCTCAGCCTCTAGGATGGCTAGCTAGGATCACAGACGCCTGGCTCCTTTGAGCATTTGGACGGTTCCGGCGATCCCCCGTGGTGTTCTGGCTCCCCGATCCTGAGCTCCCGCTGGATGGACCTCCCCCCCCAACTCCTCAGAACCCTCCGTGGGTTCGGTGATCCTCCGAACATCCACAGGCTCCCCACTCCGGGCTCCACTGATCACCGCACAGGGCCTCGGTGTGCGGGCCCCCGTGGGCTCTCAGGACCCCAGGATTCCCTGCCTTCCCCCTTGAAGCCCTATAGAGCTCCCATGATGCCGCGGGCTTCAGACCTTTCCCGGGGAGCTCCCTTGATGCTTCAGGGCCCCTTGATCTGGTGATTCCCAGGGCATAATCAGACCTGCTGGATTATACAGTGGTGCCCTTCAGAACCCCTTCGGAGGTAGCTGGGGGGGGGGTCATGGTTCCTTAGTTACCTCTTGGGGATCTCCCCCTTTCCAGGATCTTCCAGCAAGCATCCAGCTTGGGTTGCTTTGATTGGAGGAGCAGAAGGCTGGAGCCATGAGGGTGGGCCAGGTGAACACTGATGAGGCAGCAGGCTGGGACAGGAGATGGAGCAGACTGGGTGGCAGGTGTGCTGTGGAATATGGAGGATGGAGAAGGCAGGGACCCTCCCTGATGGCCCCAAAGCTGTGGGATTGGAGGAATGACACAGCTCTGTTGTATCATGAGGACAGCCATATCAGAGTCCAGCTTTGTTGGTCCTGTGCCTCAGGACCAACGGTTGGGCAGATCACAGAGACCGTGACTTTACTACCATAGAAAAATACTGAAGGATAGGATTGACTAGAAATATAGTGGAGGGGCTGGGAAGGTGGCTCAGTGGTAGAGTGCTTGCCTTGCATGCATGAGGCCCTGGGTTCGATTCCTCAGCACCACATAAGCAAAAAGAAAAAAAGCTGGAAGTGGCACTGTGGCTCAAGTGGTAGAGCTCTTGCCTTAAGCTGAAGAGCTGAGAGACAGCACCCAGGCCCAGAGTTCAAGCCCCACAACCGACCAAAATAAAAGGATCTGTTCAGTGCCTGTCTCCACACTCACTGATCCCATTTCATCCCAGGTGGTTGTTGTTTTATTTGCCAGTCTGGGCCTGGGCATTGTCCCTGAGTTCCTCTTTGCTTAGCACTCTAACTTATCTGAGCCACAGTGCCACTTCCAGCTTTTTCTGGAGGTTTATTGGAGATAAGAGTCTCACCATCTTTCCTGCGAAGGCTGGCTTTAAACCGAGATCCTCAGATCTCAGCCTACTGAGTAGCTAGGATTACAGATGTGAGCTACCATCACCTGGCTAAATACTGGATTTTGAGGCCAGAAGAAAAAAGTTCACCTGACTCCCATCTCAACCAACAAGTTGGGCATGGTAATATACTCTTATCATCCCCAGCATCTTGGGAAGTGTAAATGAGAGGATCACTGTCCAGGGACCATATCCCCAAAATTGTTAAAGCCAAAAGGACTAGGGGTATGGCTTAAGTGGTACAATGCCTGCCTCAGAAGCACAAAGCCTTGAGTTTGGCACCCTAGTACCACCAAAAACACATTGAGATTTGAACTTGAGCCCATGGACTGTGGACCCATGGTTTCTCTCCTAAAAGGTCTCAGTCTTAACAGTGTGCGGATCAGACTCAAACCACTAAACATGTTTTCTTTAGCCTGAGCTTTGTTTTTGAAAATGTCAATTGCTGGACAATTAATTCCATGTAAACATCCTCTGGACTCTAGCTCCCTTAGAAAATAAAATTCCAAAATGTGGCAACCTTTGGCTCCAATTCCCTGACACAAATCATCTGGAAACAATTGGGACCGGCATTTTATAGGAGTTTGAAGCTTTTAGTTCCCAGCAGTCCATCTTCTGCCATTTAGTGACCTGCCAGGACTCTGTGCACATTCTTTTGGAAATTTGTTTTTCTTTGGGAGGGAAAAATTGAGAACAGAGAACTTGATATTTATTAAGAACTCTCATTTATCCATTACTCAACTTCAACAATGAATATTTCGCCCAATGTTGTTTCACTCTTTTTCTTTAAAACCCAGTAAGAGGGTTTTTTTTCTTTAAGAGTAATTTAAACAAAGTCCAGATGACATTTCTCTATAAATGTTGAAATTTCATTTTCCTAACAGATAAGGACTCATTGTGTTATATAACTGTGCTAGTGGGCTGGGAAGGTGGCTCAGTGGTAGAGCGCTTGCCTTGCATGCATGAGGCCCTGGGTTTGATTCCTTAGTACCACATAATCAAAAAGAAAAAAAGCTGGAAGTGGCACTATGGCTCAAGTGGTTAGAGCGCTAGCTTTGAGCTGAAGAGCTGAGGGACAGCGCCCAGGCCCAGAGTTCAGGCCCCACGACCAGACGCCCCCCCCCAAAAAAAAAACTGTGCTAGTGTTATCATATTTTGTTGCATTAACAATCATTCATTAATATATAATGTCCAATCTATATTCACACAACTCTATGCCTTTTTGGTGTGTATCATAGTGCACCCCTGTAAATCCAGCACTCAGGAGGCCAAGGCAGTAAAGTCTGGGGCTAGCTTGATCCACATAGTGACCTACTTAGTGAGATTCTATTTCAAAAGAACAAAAAAAAAAAAAACACTTCCCCATTGGGTATTTGAGTTTGAAACTTCTAACCCCCACCCCCACTCCCCCTGCCCCGTGTGGCTTGAACTCTGGGCCTGGGCCTGGGCTCTGTCCCTGAGCTCTTAAACTCAAGGCTAGTGCTCTACCACTTGAGCCACAGCGCCACTTCCGGTTTTCTGAGTGGTTTATTGGAGAGTCTCATAGGACTTCCCGGGGTGAGCAATCCTCATTTCTCAGCCTCCTGAGTAGCTAGGATTACAGGCGTGAGCCACCAAAACGGGCTCTGTTATCTTTGATAACAGAGCAGAAAGGGTTAGAAATGTGGCTCAGCCACAGACCACTTGCCTGACAAGAACCCCAAATACCACAAAAAAATAGATAAGGCCAGGCACTAGTGGCTCACCTGTAATCCTAGCTACTCAGGAGACTTAGATCTAAGAATCCGTTTGAAGGGCTGGGAAGCTGATTCTTAGATCTTAGTCTCCTGAGTAGCTAGGATTGCAGGCATGGGCCACTAGTGCCAGCTTGCATATTTGCTTTGAGACAGTCTTTAAGTAGCTTCAATTGGCCTTGAACTTTCAGCCACCTCACCCACTAACATAGTAAGCTTTATGTATATTTATTATATTAAAAAGAAAGTGGATGGGCTGGGAGTTTAGGGTGTAGGTTCATTAGTGGAGCGTAGAGCTCAGGATTCAATCCTCAACAACAAAAAATACAATAGAAAGAAAGAAGTAACTCTTGAAGAGAAGAGGTATAAGTCTCTCCTCGCAGAGGACTCTGGGTAGGGATTCAGCTGCCTCCCAGGCCAATTCTCACACTCTTTCCTTCTCTCAGGCCTGGCTGGACACACATGACCGGCAGTTGGGCCACTATATACATGGACTGTGGATAAAGCCAGAGCACAGGAATTCAGTGCCTTTCCAGGACCCCATCACAGGTGTGTGATGTCTCCCAGTCATTGGTGGAGCTGGGGGGAAGGGGGTGGGCAGGACATTTGTGTTTTCCAGTTGTACCAAGCCAAGATACCCCAGGGATAGGAAAGGGGTTGAGACTTCTGGTTCTTCTTGATGACAATCAGGCTAATTAGGGTTCTACGTCCATAACTGCATGACTTTGTGGGTGTGGGTACATGTCAGTACTTGGATAAAACTCAACTCAGCATCTGGGCACTGTCCCTTTTTTTTTTTGGTCCGGTCATGGGACCTGAACTCTGGGCCTGGGCACTGTCCCTCAGCTCAAGGCTAACGCTCTACCAC